CCACATCTTTGATAACATCAGTAAACATCAGTTGTCCATAGATATATGAATTTACTTCTGGGCTCTCAATTCTATTCCATTGGTCTATGTGCTTATTATTGAACCAGTACCAGGCTGTTTTGATTACTGCAGCTGTATAGTATGTTTTGAAATCAGTAAGCGTGAGGCCTCCCACTTTGTTCTTAAGAAGATTAACTAATCTTAATGAATTATTTTGTTGCAATGAATTTAGATTTTTTAAATCCCCCACAAGTATTTTTAAGAAATGATTAAGCAATGATATCAAATTGTTGAGACATTTTATTTGCATTTTCCAAAGTTGTCAACATTCACCTAAAACTACCCCCCGCCCTTTTTTCCCCAGATTTATTGGCGAGCCACATGAGGTGTCTTCAGGAGAGAACAGCTTTTTTGAGATGGAATTAAATGCTGGGGGAGACTCGTCTTTTGTGTTGGAGGACAATGGAAGTGACCATTTGGTTTACATTCCAAGCAAAATAGTTAAGCCACAGAAATTAATTAGTAAATACGAAAATGATCAAGTTCCTGAAGAAATGGCAAATCTCACTTCTGGTTAGGAAATGAAAAGTCATAGCTGAAATGTTTAAATAACCTGGAGCCTCATCTTTTAACACTAGGAAAGGATCAAATATGTTAAGGCTGGTATCTAAATGGACTTTTTTTTTAAGTTCAAGATGGAGCTGCAACTACTGCTTTTATTGAAATTGAAGAAGTAAATGGTGACAGGCACCAATAGGGGTGGTCACCGATATGAACTCTGAGAAATATCCCTGATATCCTCAACAAACTTAAGATTTTTCTAGAAACCACAAATTAGAAAGTGTGATATAGAAGGAGGCAGTATAGAGAACATCAGAATAAAAGGACAGATTAAAATAACTTTGAAAAGTTGGCCCCTCCAGTGCCCCAGAGTCTGTGATTCCATGAGAAGATATGTTTTATTCTGGGGTTACCTGGAGAATAGATAGAGTATAAACTCCCCTACCACCTACACTATACATTTTAAGGGCAAGTCAATAATATCTTGTCAGGATTTAATGGCTTCAAACAAATAAGATAAGAATTTTCTCTGTATTTTCATTTATAAGGTTGAAAAACTCCAGAGACTATTCGGCCATTCCATCTGCACATTTAGAGTCTTCCAAAATGCTCATCTGGCCAGAATGCCAACATTTAAGCATTATGTCATAGGTATGATGAGTGTGGTTAAAATATGCGGCATAAAGAAAAAGAGGGCCAATTTCATGCTGTAATATTCATTCTTGGCAGCTTCCTTTGATAATTTTTCTTGTGTTCAACACACATGTCCCCACAACTATTTCCAAGACGTAAATATTAGAACTTTATTTTTAAAAGATACAAACTTTCCTTAAGAGAAACCACAGTTAAGAATAAAAAAGTCAATCATTAGTTGAAAAATAAGGCATCATAGCTATAGAAAGAGGTAATGCAGTAAAACACAATGTGTGTCATGCCATGGCATTAAAACATTCAGGAGTGTGCTTTTTTTAGTTAAAACAATTCTTTTATTGTCATATAGACATGGCCTAAAGAAGAGAATTAAATATTTGTTCCTTTTTATGGATGTTGTTAATTTGGGGGTATTCCTTTTGATGATATGGGAATTACAACAGCCCTTGAGGCACAGGAATTTATTATGCTATGGTTTAAAAAGAAGCAGAGAAGGACTTTTGGCAGAGTGTTAGAATAGCAAAATTGTCATTTGTGATTGTTTTGTTAGCGGTAAACATTCCAAAGTCTAGTAATTCAAAAGTGTGAACCTTCTAAGGAAAGATACCTACGACTGGGTATTAAAAAGATAAAACTCATCTTTATAGCCATCTTTAATGACCATTGTTCAGTAGTAAAAGAAAGACTTTTCATTTAGTTTTTCAAATGACTTGGAATTAAGATGATACTTGTAGCCAGTGTAAGGTCTAATATGGCTGAAGAAATAACTGTCCATGTCTCTAGCAGGAAAAAATGTAAATTGTCACTTACCCCCACCCCACCCAATTTCTCTTGCAGTGGGGTGATGTGTGCTATGAGTTCCTTGGAGAACTATGTCAGGTTGTGATAGCTTGGAAATAGTGAGAGTCTCAGACCTGAGAATTATATATGTGTTAGAGGATAGATATATATATACTTTAAAATAAATCTGAGTGTCTGGCCGTAAGTGTTTTCTACGGGCTTTGCGCTGTTCTTTTCTTTTTTGTCGTCTTTAGCCAATTGCCAAGAACTGCTACAAACTTTCTGTATAATGTGCTGTCCTTGTGGAGAATAAATTGTGGTTCAGTTATTTTATTCAGTCACTGAGAGATGAGCTTTGATAAGTTCCAGATGTATTGTAGAAATAAAAGGCTGATAACTTTCACAAGCACTTCCATATGCTGTGTTTATGTTACTCATTTATAATGTGATTCTTATGGCTGTTGGCTGATCTTTCTGCCCTTGAACTGAGAGTCCTGGGGGAAGGTCAGGAATCTGAACCATTTAAGAAATTTATAAACCTCCCAGAGTCCTCCAACTCGAGTTGTTCATGAGAAGCACAACCGTTGATTTTCTCCCTAGCTATGCCCCTACCGATAACCCTACCTCTTCTCCCTCCTATCTGCCACAGTTTCCAAATTAATCTTCACATCCATCCATCACCTTTCCTGGCCCTCTCCATTCCATAGAGCAGCCAAAGAACAACCTGTATCACAGTCACCTGGAAGTCCTTAGTAAACATGGATTCCTGAGCCCTGCTCAGAACAGGGCTTCCAACAAATTCCTTCAGGTTTGAATCCATGCTGAAAATTTACATTTCTAACAAGTTCCCAGGCAATGCTAATACTGCTGGTTAGGGACCAATTTGAGAACCACCAGTGGTTCTCAAAATTTATTATACATAAGAATCACCTGGGGATCTTGTTTAAAAAGTGTAGATTCTTATTCGTATATGTGGGGGTGGGGATGCAAACCGGTTCAAAGCACTGCTCAGAACTACTGCTTCAGATTTAGGAGTGTGAATGAAGAGGAGAAAGCTATGATGTTTTTAAGCACTGGACGTGATACTTACATGCCCTCAAGTTTGAGATTCATTATCCCAGTGGTTCTCAAAGTGTGGTCCCCAGACTAGCAACATCAGCATCAACTGAAGACACATTAGAAATGCAGATTCTCGGCACCTATCCCAGACCTGGAACCATGGTGTCGTAGTGGTCAAGAGCTATGGCTGCTAACCAAAAAGTTGGCAGTTCGAATCCACCAGGCACTCTTTGGAAACCCTATGGAGCAGTTCTTCTCTGTCCTATAGGGTCACTATGAGTCAGAATCGACTCTACGGCAACAGGTTTTATCCCAGACCTACTGAATCAGAAACTCTGGGGGTGGGGCTCAGCAAACTGGGTTTTAACAAGCAGCACAGGTGATTCTGACATAAGCTCAAGTTTAAGAACCATCCGACCACCTTGGTTTGCCAAATTTGGTCTGTGTTCTCAATGGAGCTGGAAGTAATTTGGTATCTAGTAATCACATAACAGAGATGTGAAAATTCCTACTTCCAAAGTGTACCAGGTGTTATAACCAGAGATATTATTTTATTCTGCCCATCAGAGAACATGACCATCCATCCATCCAACCAACCAATATTTATCTAACAAAATGCTCTTAAGATCCAAGTATATAGGGATTATCTGAAGATAATATTATACATTTTGACCATGACATCTACAGTACAAAAATTCCTTGGAAAATGCAGTCCCTCCTAATAACTTATCAGTGGAATGTACTTTGTTCTTTGAAATTAGGTAATAAAGAATGAGTGGTTTAATTTTAATTAAATTGTAACTGTTGACACAATGGCTAGCCTAGCATTTTAATCAAAGACCTTGCATTACCCAATATTTAAGGCATAACTAGTCTACTTTCAAAATTAAAGAGGGACAGGATAATTTGCTATGAATGCTAAATACCAACCCAAACTTAGCCTGGGGCTCCAGCATAGCTGTAAGCAGCTCCAGGTCTTAGGATAACTTCAGCTGATATTCTTTTCAATGAATTTCATTAAGAAATGAGAATCAACATTTCCCCCTTTAGACTAGGCTGGAGTTGTGCTCAAGGAAATTTGTGCAGGGTTTTTTTTTTTTCTTGTCCCCTAACTTTAATCTGATTGTGATCTACAAATCAGCTTAAAAAAAAAAAAAGTATAACCTTTTGACTTTGACTCAATCATAGAGTATTAGAGATGGAAGGGGATTTAGTGATCACAAACTCAGCAGGGGGTGATTCTGCCTTACTCCACCTGAAGGGACATTTTGCAATTTCTGGAGACATTTTTGGTTGTTACAGCCAGAGGCTGCTACTGGCATCTGGAAAGTAAATATCCTACAAGGTACAGGCCAGCCCTCCACAACAAAGAGATGAAACTGTCAATAGTGCTGAGATTGAGAAACCATGTTTAGGAGAAGCATCATGCCCCCAATTGTCATGGAATTAGCAGACCCAGTATAGGGACTCAGGAGTCTTACTCCTGTCCACTGTTTTCCCATGACACCTACAGGATTCTGCTAATTTTTTAAAAATTATAAGAGGACTATCATATCTTTTAAAATTTAAATAAGAGCCCCCAAATCAAACAATTTAGCAAAACTGAGCTCTTTTTAGTGTGGATTATGTTCTTTTTTTTTTTTTAATCATAGGCGTATAGGCTTACAGTTTTATTTAATTGTATATCCTGCTTTTCATGTAATATCATGTCATAACATTTTCCATATTGCTGCAATCTCCATACCAATTTTCCTAAATATGCTCATGGTGCTTCTTTACGTGAGTGAATGTATTTAACCATTTCCCTCACTGAATGCTTATCTTGCTTCTCATTTTTGCTGTCATATATTAAACTGCAATATATATCACTGCTTCCACTAAATTTAAATCTATACTGTCAGTAAATGTAGCAGAATTGGCTTCTGAGTCATCCCATGGAACACCAGCTGAATGTTCTTCTTTCATCTCGGTACACATTCTAAAGAGGAGATCAGTAATAGAATTGTGTGGCCATGTCTGAATTTTACTGACATGTTTCATGAAATCTTTAGGAAACCTCTACCATCTTAATGCTCATTTGGGAATAAACTGAGTCTCCTCTTGCTTCATTTTAAACTGTACATTGAGGTTGTTGCATTTACCTTTTCTCAGGAATTTATTTTGAATATTATTACTGTAGGTTCCATTGTCTTCCTCAAAGGTTTTGCAAGACTAGTGTGAACTGAAAGTTCAGTGTATGTTGACTATTTAATTTCAAATGTACACTGAGTTTGCTTCTGTATGTCTTATGCAATCATTTGTTGTAGCTAATAAATGTTCTAGAGTTCTGGTTACATCTTATTTCATGTGGGCCCTTTCTAGTGGAACAAAACGTGGATACTTGAAGTAGTATATACTTCCGTGATGGTGGTGGTGGTGACAGAGGTGGTGATAACGATAGTGTTGGTGCTGGTTATGGTAATAGTAAAGGCAATGGTGGTGAAGACATTTGCTGTTGCCGATGATGGTGGTAGAGGTGGGTA